GATGGCGGCGGAGCTTCGCTTCGACGCTGAAGGTCAGCCCCTAGAGTTCGAGGCGTGGCTTGCCGACCTCCGCCGCCAACTCACTGGCCAGCGGCAGGATGGTGAACCGCTTTCCGCACACCTTGACGGTACGCTCCCCTGCCCAGACCCCCTGCTATTCTGCCCGCTGACCCCACACCCACTGAGCGTGAGTCTACTGCTGCCACTGCCCGTGCGCGCTCTGTCTGGCTTTCTCGCGATGCTGTCGCCCAGCTTGCCATTAGCAACGCCCTCCCCCGTCCGAGCGTCCTCGCTTTAGGTCCCTCACTACTGCTCAGGCATACTTAGATGCTGTCATCAAGCGCTATTCCACCCCTCCGGCTGCCTCGGTGGGTCGCCTGATCCTCCCGCTGCTCTTTCCTGACCTTGCTTCGTTCCCCACTGTCTCTGACCTCGCTGCCCACCTGCGCTCGATAGAGGAGACCTGGCGCGCCGCCTGCACTGACGCACAGCTTAGAGCCCACCAGCCGCCCATTACCTCTACCCTCTACCTGCTTGCCACCCGCCTCCCTGACCGCCTTGCTGTCGCCCGCGACCGCTTCCTTAGTGTTCACCCCGCAGACCTCACCCTCACTGACTTTGTCGACACCCTGACTGTGATAGAGACCCGTCACCGCTCCATCGCCCAGGCGAGCGGTGTCGTGCCGGTCCCTATCTTTCAGGGTTGTGCCCCCGCTCAGTGTACCTTCTCCGACGGCTCTGCCGCAGTGGCTGAGACTGCTGCTGCAGCGCAGGCCCGTTCTGGGAAGGGCCGCCGCCCCAAGGCTGGGCGCGGCGGAGGGGCGGCGGGGGTGCGGGCGGGGTAGTGGTGGGGTCGGGTCGCCTGGTGCTGGAGCGGACGAGGGGACCCTGCCCAGTCCAGCTGAGTCGCCGCCCCTGCAGTTGCAGCAGCCGCAGCAGCCGCCGCAGTCGCAGCCTTCGCAGCAGCCGCAGCAGCCGTCGCAGACGCGGCAGACGAGTGTTCTCCCGCCAGGGTGGCCCGGCGCTGGCGGTGGACGGGCGCGTGGTGGTGTGCCGCGTGGTGGCTCTGCGGCGGGCGTTGTCAGTACCAGATCCAGACCGGTCCTCGCCGCGGCTTCGTTTGCGGTAAGATCGGTCACTCCACTCCCCGCTGCTTTCGTCGCCTGGACGACCTCTTTCGTCAGCGTTTCGGCCCGTCGCCAGACCTCCCGGACTGGCACAGTTTGCTTAGTCGTCAGATTCAGATCTTTGATATGGACATGGATGCCATTGTTTCTGCTCTGCATGTGATGTATGCTGATGACTCTAGTGTGCTTCCGACTTATTACTCACTGTTGCCTAGTGTAGGTGTGCCTAGCTTAGCCTCCCCTGCTGCGTCAGGCGTAGGATCCCCTGCTTTGTGTAGTCTTGGTGCTTCTGCCGTCGTTCCGTCGCCAGACCCTCGGCTTCGCTTTCCTTCACCTTGGACTCTGGCGCCTCTCGGTGTTTCTTCCGCGACTCCACCACCCTGACGCCGCTTCCTGTTCCTGCTGCCGTTTCTCTTGCTGACCCCTCCGGCGGTCCGGTAGTCGCCCGCAGTTCCACCACCCTTCCCTGTCGGCGGTTCCTTCGGGCACTCTCACAGGTCTGCATATCCCCTCGTTCTCCAGGAACCTAGTTGGTGTCGGCTGCCTCCAGGACCTTGGCGTCACCACTACGTTCCCTGGTCACGAGCGGTATGCTGTCTGTACCGAGGCCGCCACTGGTGCCCCCCTGTCCACGTTCCCCCGGGACCCGGTGTCCGGCCTGTTCACTCTGGACACCGTGCCCCCCCGGCTGGAGCGCCCCCTCAGGTGGCTGTGTCTACCCAGGTTGCTGCTGCCTGCTCCTGTCGCTCCCTCACTCACCCGACCCTCCTGTGGCACCACCGCCTAGTCACCCTGGCGCTCCCGCGTCTGCGTCACATGTCCCAGCACGGTCTTGTCCTTGGTCTCCCAGGTTCACTCCCCGCGTTTCCCTCCTCCCCAGCTCCACCTTGCACGCCTTGTGTCGAGGGTCGGCTTCGCCGTGCCCCTCACTCCTCCTCGTTCCCCCCTACCGCCGCGCCGCTGCAGACCCTGCACCTGGACGTCTGGGGCCCCGCCCCCGTCCCTGGGCCGCGTCGCGAGCGCTACTTCCTTGTGCTTGTCGACGACTTCACTCGTTACACCACAGTCTTTCCCCTGGAGCGCAAGGCCGACGTGCCTGGCGCCCTCATCCCCTGGCTTGTCTCTGCGCGTGTCCACCGCGGTCTCCCTGTCTTGCGTCTTCACTCAGACCGTGGGTGGCGAGTTTGCCTCAGGTGTCCTTGGTCGCTTTTTGTCGTGCGGAGGGCATCACCCAGACGTTCACCCTACCGGGACTCCCCACAGCAGAATGGGGTCGCTGAGCGACGCATCGGCTTTGGTCATGGAGGTCGCTCGCACCTCCATGGTCCATGCCGGTGCACCCCAGTTTTCTGTGGCCGTTCGCTGTGCGCTACGCTTCTCACCAGCTTAACCTGTGGCCGCACCCTCAGCAGCCGCAGGTTTCGCCGACCCGTCTGTGGACTGGGTCTCCTGGTGACGCGTCTGCGTTCCACGTCTGGGCTGCCTTGCTCACGTCCGTGCCTCCGGCCACGGACAAGCTCACTACCCGCCACCCTTCCCTGCGTCTTCCTCGGTTTCCCCTTGACGCGTCCGACTGGCACTTTTACCACCCGCCGTCTCACCGCTTCTTTCACTCTCGTGACGTCACCTTTGACGAGTCCGTCTCCTACTACCGCCGCTTCCCCCACCGTGGTCCCCCGGTTACCCCCCCCCAGTTCCTGGTCACCCCTTCCCCGGTAGTCCCTGCCCCTCCTCCTCCTCCTCCCCGTCCCGCCCCCTCTGGTGTCTCCCATGTCACCCCCCTTCCGTCCGTGGACCCGGTTGAGGAGTCTTCTGACTCTGGTGGCCCTCCGGTGCAGTCCTCGCCGGCCGCCCCTCCCCAGGTGTCCCCTCCCCAGTCCCCTCCTCTGCCGCCACTGCAGCCGTCGCCGTCGCCGCCGCCGCCGCCGCCGCCGCCGTCGCAGCCCCCGTTCGCTGACTCTGGGGGTGCTCGTCCCGGTCGCCCTGAGGGTGGTCCCTCTGGGGGTGCGGGTGTGGAGAGTGCCGGTGGTAGCCGAGGAGCAGCTTGCGGTCCAGGTGTCGCCGTTGTGCCGCCGCAGCAGCAGTCCCCGCCGGTGTCCGCCCTTCGCCTGCTCGGCCTTCCGTCCCCCGACCCTGCGTCGGTTCTTCCCCGACCGTCTCCTCCTCTTCCTGTCTACGGCCCTGTTTTCCCTCCGCCGGCCTCGTCCCCGGCCCGTCTCCCCCCTCGTTCCCCTCCTGTGTCCCCTCCCCTGTCTCCTGACCCGACTCCTCCATCGCACGTCTGGTCTCACCGTCCCTCCCGTGCTCGTCCTGCCTCGCCTGTCCTGCGCTCCCACCCTATGTTGCTTCGTTCACACGCGTCTCGTCCTCCCCTTCTGCCGTCGCCTCCTCCGTCCTCCCTTGTTGTTGCGCCCCCCCCGCTGTCCGACTACCTTCGTGTCGCTCGTCCTCTCGTTCCTCGGGTCCTTGCCTCTCTCGTTACCGACCCGTCTGTTCCAGTCTCGTGCCTTGACGCTCTTGTCGCTGCTGTCGCTGACTTCGCCTCTACCCGCCGCCTTGACTACGCCTCCGCTCTGGTCTCTGACCCTGCCTGTCCTCCGTCTGTCGGGGGTGCTCCTGCCCTTGGCAGTGACGTCCTGGAGGACCGCCAGTTCGAGCTTGCTTTCCTCTCCGAGGCTGCTCCCCATCTCTGTTCCATGCTGCTAGTCCCTGAGGGTGACCCAGACGCTTTCGACATCCCGACCCCTCGCACTTACGCTGAGGCGACTTCGGGACCCTGGGCCTCGCAGTGGATAGCTGCCATGGAGCAGGAGATGGCATCTTGGAGATCCACCGGCACCTTCGTCGACGCAGTTCCCCCACCTGGGGTGAACGTAGTCGATGGCCGCTGGCTCTTCAAGGTGAAGCGCCCTCCTGGAGAGCCGCCTGTGTTCAAGGCGCGCTATGTGGCTAGAGGCTTCAGTCAGCGCGAGGGGGTGGACTTCTTCCAGACTTTCGCTCCGACCCCGAAGATGACTACTCTTCGGGTTCTGTTACACCTAGCTGCTCAGCGTGACTACGAGCTTCACTCCCTCGACTTCTCCACTGCCTTCCTTCAGGGCAGCCTACACGAGCAGGTCTACCTGCGCCGCCCTCCGGGCTTTACTGGCACCTTCCCTTCTGGGACCCAGTGGCTCCTGCGGCGCCCCGTCTACGGCCTGCGCCAGGCTCCCCGTGAGTGGCACGACACTCTGCGTGCTACGCTTGCTGACCTGCAGTTCTTTCCGTCTTCTGCAGACCCTTCACTCTTCGTTCGTGCTGGCCAGACTCCGTTCTACATCCTCGTTTACGTCGACGACCTGGTCTTTGCCACAGGAGACAGGGACGCGCTGGCCTCCGTGAAGGCAGAGCTGCTGAAGAGACACACCTGCACTGACCTTTGAGAACTGCGCCGTTACCTTGGCTTGCAGATCTCCAGGGACAGAGCTGCGCGCACCATCACCCTGACTCAGTCACACTTGGTGCGCCAGGTCCTTCAGAGGTTCAGCCTTCAGTTCTCCTCTGCACAGCCCACCCCTCTGCCTGTAGACCACAGGCTCTCCGCTCCAGTGCCTGAGGAGTTGGTAGAGCCCAGCGTCTAGGCGACTATCGCCTCCGGCGCAGCGAAAAGTATTTAGAAATACTTGTGCAAATAGCCTCAAGGGCCTTGCCTCATAATCTGATCTCAAAGTGGTTGCAAGTTGTCAATACACACAAGCATTCCACTAGTTCCAATGAGATACAAAGCACACAAGAGTATACTGATTTATAGGCAATCAAGAAAGAACAAACGCGGTTCGTAACTGCCGTGTGCGCTGCGCGTAACTCGCGCGCTTCATGTCATGCCGAGTCGCACACGCAATCGCGACTTTCTTGCTGAACACGCCACTGGCCCGAAGTCCGAATGCTTGTTGAACACGCCCCGTCTGAAACCCAACTTTTGCCCCACGTCAATCTGTTTCTCACCACTTCCACTCCTTTCTTCCACTCAACCACCATTCTCCTTACTTTCCACCAATCTTCTCTCTTTCTTCTCCCCTTTCCGTACACCTCACGCTCACGCAATACCCGCTTCCTAGTACCTTCTCGTCCAAGTCCGCATTTCTCTCCTCGTCACCCCAAGTCACGAGTAGTCCGTTGTGGGTGGCGGAACCACTCCAACAACCTCCCCTGTGGTTCTGCCAACCACGCACCTTCCATGTGATTGTCTCTTCTAGTGCTCCCCTGCATTCTCCATCCTCGCACTCTAAGTCAGCTCCATACTCCCCTGCAACTGCTTGGCTTTCTGCTTCTGCTTACCAGGCTTGAATGGATAACTCTGAACCCTCAGATGAGGATTGGTCTGCTTCTTCTCCTTACTGTACTCCTCGCCCTCAGTAGAGTCTCCAATCTCACTTGCCCATTCTAGGATACCCTCACAATCACTGAACAACTCGTCGCTAGCCCGTACTATCCATCCTTCCTTACTGACCTCCAAAATCTTACCAAACCAATTGATAGTCGTTACTGTCTGCTTCTTTCCCTCGGGTTCCTCAGACTGCTCTATCTCCTCTTTCCTTGTCTTTGCTGCTGCCTGTTTCTGTTTCTCCTCCCATCCTGTTTCTTAGCTGCCTCAGCTCCTGTGTCCTCCCGTACAACCACAGCTTCGTTGCTTATGTTGTCCTCCTCATACCCATCCGTTACTAACAGCTTCGGCATAAAATCCATCTCGTAGAAACCCCGCTTCAGCTTCCCGTCTGCAACTACTTCCCACGTTGGACCAAATACTGTAACCTTGCCCCGGTTGTTGAGCACCTTACATCCCAATGCATCCATCTGTGACTGGCTAATCAGATTCATGGATAGGTCCTTCACCAGCAGTACTCCTTTCAGCTTCAGTTCCCCGAACCTGCTACGCAGTAGGACGTCACCTTCTCCAGTGACGGGTAACTTTGTGCTATCTCCAGCAGTATGAACTTCTCATTCGACTCCCTCACATTCTTCAACCAGTTTGACCTGTTCGTCATGTGCTGTGTGCAGCCACTGTCCAGGTACCAGCCATGGAGCTTGAAACCGTCAGCTTGCAGGTTTGACGCACGTGCAATGTTCGCCCGATGTGCGCCAACACAGCGGCCCCTACGCAGAGCTGGTGGGTTGCCTCATGTACCTGATGACTTGCACTCGCCCAGATCTCGCATACCCTCTCAGCATCCTGGCTCGCTTTGTGGCCACAGGCAGACACCGACCGCAGCACTGGTCTGCCGCTAAGAGGGTTCTGCGTTATCTTGCTAGTACATCGGGCATGGGGTTAGTGCTAGGAGGACGCCGGCCAGCGGTCCTTACTGGGCACACAGACGCTTCGTGGGCAGACGACGCTGAGACACTCCGGTCTACCCAGGGCTACTGCTTCAGCCTTGGCTCAGGTGCCGTCTCGTGGAGAGCTACTCGCTCCTCGTCTGTTGCACAGTCCAGCTGTGAGGCTGAGATCTACGCCGGTGCCATGGCGGCACAGGAGCTCCGCTGGCTGACCTTCTTGCTCACTGACTTAGGTGAGCGGCCTAGCTCTGCCCCGGTCCTGTTCGCTGACAACAGGGCCAAGATCCTCCTGTGTCAGGAGCCTCAACTCGAGGGCAGAGCGAAGCACATTCAGCTGCGGTACTTCCTCCTGCGTGAGCTACAGCAGCGACGTCAGGCTCGCGTAGTACACTTGGCCTCAGGTGCCAACACGGCTGATATCTTTACGAAGGCGCTTGCGCCTAAAGATCATCAGCGGCACTGTGTACAGCTTGGTCTAGTTCCTGTAGCCTCTCACTTGCTAGGACCTTGACTTTGTACTGTCCTTTATATGTATACTCAGACTGGACTTGTGTCCTCTCCCAGTGGCTGGACTAGTAGTGCCGCCCTGCTCTTGTGCTTGCCTTGTCTGTACTCCTTCAGACCGGTCGCTGAGACCCTTGCCTCAGAGGTTGGACTAGTAGTGCCGCCCTGAGCTGCTTGTTTAGGGTATTCCCCTATGCAGTCTAGGGGGAATGTCAAACATGTGTATTTGTCATGTTTGTATAGACTGTATAGAGTCACCTCTTAGAGGATACAAAACTTAGATATATTTGTGTGTACTCTCACTTTACCATTCATTCAATTATTCTGATACGTTCTACATCCTTGTTTACGTAGACGACCTGGTCTTCGTCACGGCAGACAGGGACGCACTGGCCTCCATGAAGGCATAGCTGCTGAAGAGACAAACCTGCACTGACCTTGGAGAACTGCGCCACTACCTTGGCTTGCAGATCTCCAGGGACAGAGCAGCCCGCACCATCACTTTGACTCAGTCACACTTGGTGCGCCAGGTCCTTCAGAGGTTCGGCCTTCAGTTCTCCTCCGCACAGCCTACTCCTCTGCCTCTAGACCACAGGCTCTCCGCTCCAGATCCTGAGGAGTCAGCAGAGCCCAGTGGTCCTTACGCAGAGCTGGTGGGTTGCCTCATGTACCTGATGACTTGCACGCGCCCAGATCTCGCATACCCTCTCAGCATCCTGGCTCGCTTTGTGGCTACAGGCAGACACCGACCTCAGCACTGGTCTGCCGCTAAGAGGGTTTTGCGTTATCTTGCAAGTACATCGGGCATGGGGTTAGTGCTAGGAGGACGTAGGCCAGTGGTCCTTACTGGACACACAGACGCTTCTTGGGCAGACGACGCCAAGACCCTCAGGTCCTCACAGGACTACTGCTTCAGCCTTGGTTCAGGTGCCGTCTCGTGGAGAGCTACCCGCTCCTCGTCTGTTGCCCAGTCTAGCTGTGAGGCCGAGATCTACGCTGGTGCCATGGCGGCACAGGAGCTCCGCTGGCTGACCTTCTTGCTCACTGACTTAGGTGAGCGGCCTAGCTCTGCCCCGGTCCTGTACGCTGACAATAGGGCCATGATCCTCCTGTGTCAGGAGCCTCGACTCGAGGGCAGAGCGAAGCACATTCAGCTGCGGTACTCCCTCTTGCGTGAGCTGCAGCAGCGTCGCCAGGCGCGCGTAGTACACTTGGCCTCCGGTGCCAACACAGCTGATATCTTTACTAAGGCGCTTGCGCCGAAAGATCATCAGCGGCACTGTGTACAGCTGGGTCTCGTTCTTGTAGCCTCTCACTTGCTAGGGCCTTGACTTTGTACTGTCCTATATATATACATTTTACCCAGACTGGCCTTGTGGCCTCTCCGAGTGGCTGGACTAGTAGTGCTGCCCTGGGCTTGCGCTTGCCTTGTCCGTACTCCTTTTGACTGGTCTTTAGACCCTTGTCTTAGAGGCTGGACTAGTAGTGCCGCCCTGAGCTGCTTCTTCCCTTGTTAGGCACTGCCCCTATATAGTCTAGGGGGTGTGTCAAATGTAACTTAGGTTGTTACTGTAGACTATACTGGATTGTGCCTTAGAGGGTACAACACCCTAGTCTATATATCCTTGTACACACACATTCTAGTTCAATCATTTTCTTTCTGATAAAAACCCCATCCATCTCTGTCCATTCAGAATTTTTGTCCGACACAACCCTGACCCCTAAGCAAATTTTTTTGGGGACATCTGAAAATTCAGGGAGCCAGGAGTAGTCCTTTGCAATGAGGATGACTTAAAACCAATCTGAGGGCCTGATTATAATCCATACAGCTGTGATAAATGAGAGCAGCAGAAGTTGAGGACTAGTCTAGGGATCAGAGAAGAGATTGCAACAAGCAGGCTCAAATCATGCGTGTGCAGTTGCAGGCAGGCAGGGGCGTGTGGCATCAGAAGTCATCGTCCCCCTCCTCTGCGATGTGCTGTGCCAGCTCCTGCTCCGCCAGCTGCCGCTCTCTCCGCTTCTCCTCCGCATCCGCCTCGCCCTTACGCGCGGTGGGGGGGAACTGCATGGCCTGGAGGCGACACGAGGAGGGCATGGCAGCGCGTGTAATCGCAACCCGGAATACACACCACCTATGGATGCTCAGCCCATTGGCTGGTGTTGAGTGACCTTGAATACTGTTAAATGACCTCGACTGCGAGTTACTGGCTGACGACTGTTTTTTATTTGGCATTGGCTGCTGGTGGCTGGCATTGACAGCCCCAGACTGACCTCGACTGTGTGTGGCTGACACAGGCAGCCCGCGACTGACCTTGACGGCCTCGTTGTGCAGGTTGAGGCAGTAGGCAATGCGAGTGTGGAAGGCGGCCTGCGGGTCCAGCGTCGTGTACGTGTCGCCGCCCTCCTTGCTCACCATGCACCCCTGCCGCCGCTCCACCACCGCCTCTATGCCCCCATCCCGAATCGCCTGGTGCACGCGCAACCCCCATAACCACCCCACATATGGAAGAGACAGGTGTGTGAGCCGAAACGATTGAGGTGTGTAGCATCATGTCTGGACGCCAAGCCTCACTGCCCAGTGCACTCACACCGCATGCCACCCCATCATGGTGCCATGCATCCCCCTGCTCACCATGCATCACTGTGCTCACCATGCATCACTGTGCTCACCATGCATCACCGTGCTCACCATGCATCACCGTGCTCACCATGCATCACCGTGCTCACCATGCATCACCGTGCTCACCATGCATCACCGTGCTCACCATGCATCACCGTGCTCATCATACATCACCGTGCTCAACATGCATCCCCGTGCTCACCATGCATCACCGTGCTCACCATACATCACTGTGCTCACCATACATCACTGTGCTCACCATGCATCACCGTGCTCACCATGCATCACCGTGCCCACCATGCATCACCGTGCTCATCATGCATCACTGTGCTCACCATGCATCACCGTGCATCACTGTGCTCGCCATGCGTCATCATTACCTTGGTGACGATGCATTCGGCGTCCGCCACAGCGGTGGGGCCGGGGAGGTGGAGTTTGAGGGCAATATCGGCGAGGGAGATGCGCGAGTACGCCAGCGAGATGCGGCGCAGCGCCGTGCGGATCACGTTGTGGCGCAGCCGCACGATCAGGTTGTGCATGTGCCCCGCCGCAAACACAGCCGCGTGCCGCGTGGCCGCGGCCTGGAAGAGGTGCAGGTCGCCCACACGCACCGCCTGGGAGAGGGTACGAGGGGGGAGAGGGGGACGAGGGGAGAGGGGACGAGGGGGGAGAGGGGACAAGGGGGAGAGGGGACGAGGGGGGAGAGGGGGACGGGGGGAGAGGGGTACAAGGGGAGAGAGCGGGACGAGGGGGAGTGGGGACGAGGGGGAGAGGGGGACAAGGGGGGAGAGGGAGACAAGGGGGAGAGGGGGACGAGGGGGAGAGGAGGACGAGGGGGAGAGGGGACAAGGGGGGAGAGGGGACGAGGGGGAGAGGGGGACAAGGGGGGAGAGGGGGACGAGGGGGAGAGGGACAAGGGGGGAGAGGGGACAAGAGGGGAGAGGGGGACGAGGGGGAGAGGGGGACGAGGGGGAGAGGGGGGGGGGGGTGGGAATGGGGAAAGAAGGTGGATGTCTAGAGATGCGGCCGAGTCATGCCTGCTCAAAATCAGCTCCTCTCACTGCTCACTTGAGCGCCACGCCTGTGAGTGCTCGCTTTGCCCTCCAGGCCCGTGTACTCACATTGGTGAGCTCGAAGAAGGGCCGCAGGGCGGAGCGCATGCCGGGCGCCACGAAGAGTGGCGCTCGGGGATCTCCCCCAGCAGCAGCCGCACCAGCACGTGCCACCGCGTGCACTCGATGCGGAACCCCAGCGCCGCCGCCGGTGCCTTGCGCGCCGCCTGCTGCAGACAGTCCTTGGCGCCGCTGTACTCCAGCTGCACTGCCTGGATGCGCCCCACGTAGTACAGGTGCCGGCACAGCTGCCGCCCACACAGGGGGGAGAGACGTGCAAGGGAAGGGGGAGGGTGCTGTGCATGAGAGCGTAGGGAAGAACACGTAGGTAGCGACAGGGGGCAGAAGTGAAAATGTTGAAAGGATGAGCACAGATGACACACGAGTAAGGTGCAGGGCGCTACCTGCTGGTTGGAGTGGGTGTCGGGGCGCAGTGCCTTGGACCTGAGCTTGTCCGCCTGGTCGTAGAGGTTGTACGCCAGGTAGTTGCGCAGCAGCAGGTTCAGCAGCATCTCCTGCAGGCATGGGGCACCGCACAGCACACATGGCACAGCACCGCACACGGTGCATGGCACACGGGCAAGGCACGAAACGGGCTTGAGAGTGAACCTACAAACCAACGCCTCATTGCTCACCTGCCGCGCCTCACCATTCATCTCACTGCCCTTCCTCTCACCGCCCTTCCTCTCACCGCCCTTCCTCTCACCGCCCTTCCTCTCACCGCCTTTACTCTCACCACCCGTCCGTTTGTCTCACCACCCGTCCGTTTGTCTCACCATCAGTCCGTTTGTCTCACCACCAGTCTGCTTGTCTCACCACCCGTCCGTTTGTCTCGCCACCCTTCCTCCCACCGCCCTTCCTCTCACCCCCGTGCGCTTGTCTCAGTGCCCACCCTTCCTCTCACCTGCCCGATCTCATCGTGGCGCAGGGTGGCCGTCTGACTCAGAGCCAGCAGCGTGCTGCCACCAGGGAAGGGGCGTGGCCAGGGGGAAGTGAGCATTAGGCAGAGAAATGAGGGTGTGAGAGTTAGGAGGAGCGCATGAGAGAGAAAGGGACGGCAGTTACTGCGAGCGCAACAGCTGGAATCGGTGGAAGACGCAGCAGCGAGTGGGGAGAGGCGGCATGCGCGGCAGCGAGTGGGGAGAGGCGGCATGCGCGGCAGCGAGTGGGGAGAGGCGGCATGCGCGGCAGCGAGTGGGGAGAGGCGGCATGCGCAGCAGCGAGTGGGGAGAGGCGGCATGCGCGGCAGCGAGTGGGGAGAGGCGGCATGCGCGGCAGCGAGTGGGGAGAGGCGGCATGCGCGCAGCGAGTGGGGAGAGGCGGCATGCGCGGCAGCGAGTGGGGAGAGGCGGCATGCGCGGCAGCGAGTGGGGAGAGGCGGCATGCGCGGCAGCGAGTGGGGAGAGGCGGCATGCGTGGCAGCGAGTGGGGAGAGGCGGCATGCGCGGCAGCGAGTGGGGAGAGGCGGCATGCGCGGCAGCGAGTGGGGAGAGGCGGCATGCACGGCAGCGAGTGGGGAGAGGCGGCATGCGCGGCAGCGAGTGGGGAGAGGCGGCATGCGCGGCAGCGAGTGGGGAGAGGCGGCATGCGCGGCAGCGAGTGGGGAGAGGCGGCATGCGCGGCAGCGAGTGGGGAGAGGCGGCATGCGCGGCAGCGAGTGGGGAGAGGCGGTTGCCTGCGGATGGAGGCGAGGGCGTTGGTGCGCTCGTGGGCGAGCGAGAAGTAGAAGTAGATGCGCGCGCCCAGCAGGTCCAGTGTGCGCCGATTCACCTGCTGCAGCCGCCGCACCGCCGCCCACGCGCACTCACACGCCTGCATCGCACGCAGGGGGGGGGAGAGGGGAAGAGAAGAAAGATGAAGATGTGGATGCATGGGCATGGGCATGGGCATGGGCATGGTCATGGGCATGGGCATGGGCATGGGCATGGGCATGGGCATGGGCATGGGCATGGGCATGGCATGGGCATGGGCATGGCATGGGCATGCGCATGGGCATGGGCATGGGCATGGGCATGGTCATGGGCATGGCATGGCATGGGCATGGCATGGCATGGGCATGGCATGGCATGGGCATGGGCATGGGCATGGGCATGGCATGGCATGGCATGGGCATGGGCATGGGCATGGAACGTTGACACATGATGGGGGCATGATAGGGGCGGCATGACAGGGGCATGATAAGGGCATGATAGGGGCATGATAGGGGCATGATAGGGGCATGATAGGGGCATGATAGGGGCATGATAGGGGCATGATAGGGACATGATTGGGGCATGATAGGGACATGATTGGGGCATGATAACAGCACGATGGCAGCAGGGGGCAGCGCTGACCAGGGCTGTGGCGCGGCGGTCGATGAGCAGCACGAGCGCCATGAGGTAGGCAAACATCTCCACCTCCGGCAACGATGTGGCCCGCACCACGCTACCCACGCCAGCCGTGCCCGACGACGACGACGCGCCCGCTGATGACGCAGCTGCTGTGGGCTCCGCTGCCGCAGCCGAGTCAGCACTCGCACCTACATCCATGTCAACATCCGTGTCCACCTGACCGCATACCATGCGCCGTGTGCCACACACCATGCACCGTGCACCATGTGCCACACACAAAGCATTCAGCACGTTGAGGAAAGGCAGGAATGTCAAGGACGGCTTGTGAGCAACACCCATGTCAGTAACGCCCATGTCTCATCAACTTCGCTCCAAGCATCGTAAAGAGGAAATAACATATCATGTCAACCCGAGTGCTGCCCCCTTGTCATCCCAGCCCCCCTCTCACGTACCCCCTGCCCCCCTCTCACGTACCCCCTGCCCCCCTCTCACGTACCCCCTGCCCCCTCTCACGTACCCCCTGCCCCCCTCTCACGTACCCCCTGCCCCCCGCCCCTCTCGCCCCGCGTGTCTCACCTGCGCCAGCAGCGCCAGCAGCGTGGAGTGCGCGTCCGCCTCGCCGTGCACGTTGGCGCGCACGAACGCCTGCACGACGCCGCTCGTCAGCCGCCTGCGCAGCGCCAGCATGGCGCGCACTGCGCGCGCCATCACGCGCACCTCGCGCGTCACCACCGCGCGCTCCACCAGCGGCCGCTGCGCCTGCAGCTCTGCGCCGAGGGAGACCGGGGGGAGGGACGAGGAACGGCCAGGGGAGCGGCGGGAAGCATTGGCGAGAAGGACGACGCAGGTAGCGACGATCACGCGCGGATGGGATGCGCGCGGAGGGAGTGAGTGCGGATGGATGTTGGGGGCGAGAGGCAAAAGGATTCGCGCGCAAAGGCGCCGATGGTCGACTTGGAGAATCGCCTCTCACGCACCTCCCCGCCTCGAGCGCCCGGCAGCGGGGATCGCATCCATCCGGCTGCGCACCGCCTGCCGCCTACCTGCCAGCACTTGCTGCGGCGTCTGCGGCGTCTGCGGCGTGCTGCCCTGCCCTGCGTCCTTCTTGTCGCGCCCGTCGCCCGCCCCCTCCACCGTCGCCTTGCGCTCGTCGCCGCCGTCCGCCATCGCCACCTCGCGCGCCATGCCGCTCGCCGCTCGCCGCGCACGCCGCACTCAAACCACGCGCGCTCTCTCAACGGCAGGGCAAGCGGGAGGAATGTAAAAGGGAGGGATCTGGATGGGAACGATTTACTGGGGCGGGATCGGCTTGGGCGGGATCTAATTGAGAGGCGAGCAGCAGTTCAGATCGTGGATTCTGAATTCCCGTGGGTCTGTGCACGCTGTAGTGTCCGTGGCAGGCAGGCTTGCACTTGTCAGGGGGATTGCCCGAAGCCCCTGTTGTACTCCACAAGGAGACATCCGCTTCTGGTTCCACTCCACATGGTCTGCCGCAAATTCTTCAAATGTGCTAACGCAGTATGTCGCGAACCCCGTGTAACTGCATTCTATTTCGCAAATTGTCGAGCATTCTCATCCTAGCTGCTCACTTGTGCTTTCCCCGATGGACTTCTGCCGCCCTCCCATTCCCCACACGCCCAGCGCCAGTCAACGGCGCGATTCTCCCGCGCGCCACTCATGGCAGTCGCCGCGCCTCTCAGCGCCCGCCTCGCTGCGGGCAGCGCGCGGGGCCACTCGCCAGCCGTGCCGCGCGTCGCCGTCTCCGCGTGCCCCGGCGGCACCCCCTCCAGCCCCCTCCTCTCATCCACCCCTCTCCTCTCGCGCCGCTCGCACGCTTGTACCGCCGCTGCCCGCGCGCTCCCCGCTGCCGCGCCCCTCATCCGCTGCGCGCTTCCCGCGCAGTGCGGGACGAAGAAGCCGCACGGCTGCGTGAGACGAACGCGCGGAGGTGCGAGAGCGAGAGTAGCGTGCGTGCTGCCGTGGCCTCTCGAGTCTCACACGCAGCACGCGGGTGTGACGAGGGGGGCGTTGGGGGCCATGGAGGCGAGCGATTGTCGGTCGCCCCTCTCCTTCCCCTCGCATCCGTCGCCGCCCTCCTCTCCGTCGCCCTTCCCCCCTCCGCGCTCGCCCTCACCCCCTCAGCCTTGACGCCTTCCGCCATCGCCGCATCCCTGCTGCCGCCTTTGCCTACCCCGCTCGCCCTGCCCCTCTCCGCGCTGCCCCTGGCGGCGCTGGACCTCGCCGCGTGGGGGGACGCGCTGGACGACGTGCTCTTCGCGGCGGCGCACGTGTCGGACCGCCTCGTGTCGCTGCAGCTCGCGGCGCTGTCGCCCGCCAGCGTCGCCGTGCTGTTCTTGGCGGGCGTGGCGACGTCGCTCACGCCGTGCACGCTGTCCGTGCTGCCGCTCACCGTCGGCTACATCGCCGGCTTCCAGCAGGCCAAGCCGCGCGCCCTCGTCGCCGCTGACGCCGCCTGCTTCGCGCTGGGGCTCGCCGCCACGCGGGCGGGCATGGCGTGGCGGCGGCGCTCGCCGGCCGCGCGTACGGGCAGACGCTGGGGGGCGCGGCCGGGGGGGAGGGGGGTGGCGGGGGTGCTGCCGGTGGTGGCGGGGGGGTGGCGGTGGCGATGGGACTCAATCTGCTGGGGCTGCTGCCTCTGCGCCTGCCGTCCGCGTTTGGCGGGTTTGACGCGAAGCAGGCGGCGGCGCGGCTGCCCAGCGCCGTGCAGATGTTCCTGGCGGGGGCCGCCTTTGCCTTCGTGGCGTCGCCCTGCGCCACGCCTGTGCTCGCGTCGCTGCTGGCGTATGTGGCGTCCACCGGGGTGAGTGCAGGCGTCCACCAGGGTGAGTGCAGGCGTCCACCAGGGTGAGTGCAGGCGTCAACTGGGGTGAGTGCAGGCGTCCACTGGGGTGAGTGCAGGCGTCCACCGGGGTGAGTGCAGGCGTCCACCAGGGTGAGTGCAGGCGTCTACCAGGGTGAGTGCAGGCGTCCACCAGGGTGAGTGCAGGCGTCCACGGGGGTGAGTGCAGGCGTCCACGGGGGTGAGTGCAGGCGTCCACTGGGGTGAGTGCAGGCGTCCACTGGGTGAGTGCAGGCGTCCACCAGGGTGAGTGCAGGCGTCCACCAGGGTGAGTGCAGGCGTCCACCAGGGTGAGTGCAGGCGTCCACGGGGGTGAGTGCAGGCGTCCACTGGGGTGAGTGCAGGCGTCCACTGGGGTGAGTGCAGGCGTCCACCGGGGTGAGTGCAGGCGTCCACCGAGGTGAGTGCAGGCGTCCACCGAACGGTGGGCGAATGGAGGTGCATTGTTGAGGGTACACTTACCGGGAGTAGGGGTTTTGGCCTCAGGGTTCTTTGGGGTCACGGTTTGAGCTGGCACCCTTGGTGGAGCATGGGGCTGCCGTGCACTCACCAAACTGCATTGCTGCATTCTGCTAGTGTGTTGGGCCCCAGTTCCCGCACCAGCCATGGGTGCCCATGTGCGTGGCATCCGTCAGCTGTGCGCCTTTCCTTCACCTTTTGCCCGCCTGGCCTCGCTCTTCTTTCTCTGCGCGCCCGCCCATGCCGTGCCGCCCATCCCATGCACCCCTCCCCCATGGCAGGACGCGGTGCTGGGGGGCGGGCTGCTGCTGGTGTACTCGCTGGGCTTCATGTCGCCCCTCATGCTGGCCGCCGCATTCACGGGCGCGCTCAAGCGCCTGCTGGCGCTGCGGCAGCACGCGCTGTGGATCAACCCCGCCAGCGGCGCGCTGCTGCTGGGCTCGGGCACCTACGCCCTGCTGGACCACTCCTTCCCCGACACGGCCGCGCTGCCCTTCATAGCGCTCTGACCTCACCATCGTGCTCGCTGCTCACACATACATGCCCCGTCAACCCCCAGTGAAACGTGCCTGGCTGTCACGTGTATATACCAATTGCTTTGCATTGCAGATGACAGCTCCGCTGCGTTATTTACACACCCCGGTATGGCAACAGTGTGTGCAAGGGGTGCAAAAGGGTGGATGTGGCCATGACACGCTTCTGTGACAGCAGCCTGGAGAACAAGGTGCATCTACTGATGCAGGTGGAACAAAGAACGCGGCGGGTGGCGAGTGCCTCAGTGGCAAGGACTGTTTCCATGCGCTGGTAGGCATTTCATTTATGGTAGCTGCGGTCTGAGAGAGCATCCAATGAGAGTGCACTAGAGCACTGCGCTGCTGGTAATTCAACACAAATGCCCTGAACTGCGGGACTCACACACACACACACAGAATTTCACCTACGATCTCAGCAGCAGCTGAGATGAGCGCTCATGAGAGCTTGGCAAGTCAACCCATATAAAAAAACAAGTGGGGTGGAAGTAAGGTGCGAGCAGCGCGCAACTGGAGGGACTAAAACTGCACTGCACACGCTTCTGACTGGCGGTAACGCTGGCGCCTCGCCTCATGTCCTCGCATCACAACGCACCGCACACCTTGCTGCTGCTGCTGCTGTAATGCTGCCTGGGCAGCACTGGCTACCCAAAGTGATGCGAGGGGAAGCGGTAGTTAGCAGGACGGCCCAGCACACTCATCCCACCTCTCACCACCGCCCCCAACTCCCCACCCACGTCTGCGTCCAAGTGCCCCCCCTCTCTTCCCTCCCCCACCCACCCCCTCGCCATGCCCCATCACCGCTGACCCTTCCTCCTCCGCCACTCTCCCCACGGCCCTCCATGCATCCCCTGCCATGCCTGCCGTCCCCCCCATGCCCAACCCCATCGCCCTCACTATGCCACCGCCCCCCACACCCACGCCACCATCACTTCTCCCCGCCATTCCCACGCCCATTCTCATACCCATGCCTACATCCACGCCCGTGCCCGTGCCGAGCCGGCTCCCAGAGCATGTGTGGCAGCAGGGTGGTCCCCTGCCCCCATGGGCGCCCCGTCCTCGCGCGTGTGCTGGCGGCACAGCATCTCGCTGAACGCCTGCTGCGCCCTCATGCTGCTGCCGCCCCCGCTGCTGCCCTCGCCCATGCCACACACCAGTGGCAGCAGGCTACCTGGACGGCCTGAGGATGCCGAGAGTGTGGGGGGAAGGGCCGGCAGCCTGGATGGCAGAGAGGCTTCAGACGCACCTGAAGTACCACCTGAGACACATCGCCAGGCGTCACCTGAAATGCCTCCTCCAAGCACCATCGCCCCCACTGCAGCCTCTTGCGCTGCTGCAATTCCCTGCCTCTCATTGTTCCCAGCCTTGCCCAAGCCTGCCTCCGAGGCTTGGATAACGAGGTCTGGAGCAGCCCTGGCTAGGCTTGGTAGCCAGCGGGTGCCAGGTGGCAGGCCACGGGGCTGCCACATCAGCATGGCCAGCTGCTGCTGCTGCTGCTGCTGCTGCTGAAAGGAGAGGGATGAGGAGGCAGCAGGGAGGAGTGGCAGGGACGTGGTGGGGTGGAGGAGGGCGCGTGGGCCGACGTGGCAGGGGAGGCGAGGGCGGGCGAGGAGCACAAGGAGTGGGACACAGAGAGGGCGGGGGCACACGGCGAGGTGGTGGCCATGGGTGAGCGGGCGGGGTTGCAGGGGGAGCGGGGGAGTGCGCATGGGGGGAGAGGGGGGAGGAGATGTGCATGGGGGTGGGACGGGGCGAGTGGGCGGCATGGGAGGGAGGGGAAGAGAGGGCGGCAGCAAGAGCAGGCGCTGCACCCGCCTCTCCCTCGCCCCCTGCTCGCCTTGCCACAGCCTCTCCTGCTCTTCCCCCCTCACCTCCTGCGCCCACTGGCGCTGCTGCTGCAGCAGCATGTGCAGGACGAATGGGAGACGCCCCAGAGGCAGCATGCGTGACGGCAGGAGGGGGAGAGGCGGAGGGGGGAGTTGGCGGGTGGGCGGGGCGGTGGAAGAGCAGGTTGGCGATGGCGCGGTCCATGGCGTTGCTGTCCCACTCGCACGCCGCCCCGCTGCCGACGCATGGGAGGGGGGGTGGATTGATTGCAGGGGGAGAAGGGGGGGACGCAAAGAAGGGATGAGGCACGGGAAAGCGATGCTAGAGGGGCAGTTGAAGGGAGGATGGAGAGGAATGCAGGCAGGGAGGACACTGAGGTGCTTGGAGTAGAGCAGGCTGCACGCGGCAGGCGGCAAGAGGCATTGGGCATAGGTCATGGAGCACGGGGCATGGGGGGTGGGGCACGGGGGACGGGGGACGGGGGATGGGGGACGGGGGACGGGGGATGGGGGACGGGGCATGGGGGATGGGACATGGGGCATGGGGTATGGGGCATGGGGGATGGGACATGGGGCATGGGGGATGGGATATGGGGGATGGGACATGGGCACGGAGCATGGGGGATGGGGCATGGGGCACGGGGCACAGGGCACGGGGCATGGGGCATGGGGGATGGGGCATGGGGCATGGGGCATGGGGCAGGGGGCATGGGGCATGGGACAGGGGGCATGGCGGATGGGGGATGGGGCAGGGGAACTCACAAGGCCGCATGAGCAGCACCCGCGGCACTGGAGTGCATGCCACCTGAGCTGGGCGCCGCAACAGATGCTTCCGAGGCTGGACACGAGGTGCGGCGCCTGCCAGCAGTGGTAGGCTCGGACGCGTGACGGCGAAGGGAGGGGGATGCGAGGGAGTGAGTGTGGGAGGAGAGAGCGGAGTGGGAGGAAGGCGAGTGGGGAGGAGCGGGGAGGGCAGCAGTGCGCTGAGAGGCGCTGTGGGCGAGGCGGAAGAGCGCGTCGCGGATGAGCAGGCGGGTGGGACCGTCCAGCTGGGGGGAAGGAGGGGGAGAAAAAGGAGGGAAAGCAGGTGAGCGAGCAGAGGCAAGAGCGCATGAGGGAGGTCACAGAGAAAGAGAGAAAGACTCGGTGGTTGCTCTTCCCACGCATGCTTGGCAATCCACACCCACGCAAAGCTGAGACAACACACGTCCCCTGCCCCCCTTTCACTGCCCGCTCTGTACCCCAACCCCCCTCTCCCTGCGCATGGTGTCGCCCAACCGCCCTCACCTTGTGCATGGTGTCGCCAGCTGCCCCAGCACCACACACTCCACCGACCCCTCCTCCCCTTCCTCAGCCCCCTCCCCCTCCCCCTCCCCTGCCTTGCTGGTGCCCCTCTCCACTCTCCCCACAACCTCGCTGCCCCTCCCTTCCTCCCCTCCTCCCGTGCCTACTGCACAGCCCCTCCCCCCTTCCTTCCGCCCTCTTCACCCGCCACTGCAGCCCCCTGCCCGCCGCCCCCTCCCCATGGTGGCAACGACTCGCTGCCTTGCGGCGCGGGCAGCACATCCGAGGACGCGCCGAACGCCTGCAGGTTGCTGGAGCTCAGCACCACGGCCAGCGGTGCGCCTGCTGGGGGGGCCCACGCCTGGGCCCGCCTGCCTGCCGCGCCACCAGCCGCAGCAGCAGCAACAGCAGCAGAAGCAGCAGCAGCGCTATCCGCAGCAGAGCTGACACTAGTAGCCGCTGCTGCCACTGCCAGTTCTGCTGCTCTATCCGCACTCGCTGCTGCTCGTGTGGAAGTGGCGGGCGTGTCGCCGCATGGGCTGGCAGCGGCGTGCTGCGCCATGCTGGATGCCCCGTGCTCCCTCAACCGCTGCTGCAACTCCACCTGCTGCTGCAGCTGCAGCTGCTGTAACTGCTGCAGCTGGTGCAGCTGGTGCGCCGTGTGCAGGTGGTGCAGGTGCTGCAGCTTCCTGCGCTCCAGCGCCATGTGCGCCTGCTGCACCGCCTTCATCTGCTGCCGCCGCCGCAGCTTCTCTATCTTCTCCGCCGGCGTCATCGTGCACCCCACCCCACCTGCTGCTGCTGCTGCTGCTGCTGCTGCTGCTGCTGCTGCTGCTGCTGTTGCTGCTGCTGCTGCCGCCCCTGCACTGCCCCCAGCACCAGCAGTGCCCGCGCCCAGGACAGGCGCGGGTGGAGCTGGCATTGCAGCGGCAGCAGCGGCAGCAGCAGAGGGCTGCAGGGCGCGGGGTGAGACGCGAGGGGCGGGCAGGGAGGGGGAGGGGCACGCGGGGAGGGGGCAGTGGATGTGGACGAGTGGGTGGAGGGGAGGAGGGCGGAGGAGAGGGCGAGGTGGGAGGCGGGCGGGATGAGAGGGGCGGGCAGAGAGACAGGCCATTTGGGAGGGGGAGGTGGCGTGGGGCGGATGAAGATGGATGCTGCTCCTGCTGCTCCTGCTGCGAGGCTGGCAGGGAGCACGTGCGTGGCAGCGGCACTGATGCTGCCGCCTGTGCTGCCGCCGCTGGCGCTCGTGTGGGTGGTGGCGCCCATGGGCGCACAGCCGTGCCGAGCTGCCACCACCTCCTTGCCCCTCTCCACCTCCTCCTGCTGCTGCACTCGCTGCTTCTGCACCACACACTGCCGCTGCTGCTGCTGCTCCACACCCGCCCCCTGCTCTTGCTGCTGCAGCCGCTGCTGATGGTACAGCAGCATTTGTCGCCCCAGCACCCGCTGCTGCTGCTGCTGCTGTTGATGCTGCTGCCCCAGGAAAGCAGCGTGGTGCCCTGCACCCAGCCCATGCGGCAGCGAGGCCGCGGAGGGCGCCGGGCCGCCGGGCAGGGCGAAGGCGGCAGGCGAGGAGGGCAGCGCGGAGGGCAGCGCGGACGAGAGGAACGCCGTGGGCAGGTGCGCGGGGGGACGCATGGCGACAGCGGGCAGGGGGGCCACGGGGAAGAAGGGGAGCGAGGGGAGCGAGGGGAGGGAGGAGGGAGTGCGAGCAGAGAGGGGGAAGGGGGCGGTGTGGAGGGAGGAGACGGAGGGGGAGGGCGGGTGGATGGACGGGGACGCCATGAGGGAGTGGCGCAGCACAGGGGGCGGCGCAGAGGCAACGGTGGGGGAGGACGACGCGAGGGGGGCGCAGTGAGAGTGCGAGTGCGTGTGCGGGTGCGTGGTGGTGGGGCGGGCGGCGGTGGCGGCAGCAGCGGAGTGCGCCGTCTTCCTCGGCGTGGGCGTGCGCTGCTCCCTCTCGTTGCGGCGCCGCGCCACCACTCGCCGACGAGCCACGTGCTGCACGGAGGACGCACGGGGCGTGAGGGATGGGCAGGAAAGATGATGAGACGCAAAGTAGCACGACCTGGCTTGAACGCCCGAGTGCAACTCAGGCGCCTTGTGCGCTGCATGCTGCCGCCACACCATGGCTCCTTGCACCCGCCACGCCATGGCTCCTTGCACTCACCGCATCGCTGGCAGCAGTCCTCATGCCTCCTCCCATCGCCCCTGCTGCCGTCTCCGCTCCACCCCCTACCTTTCCCTTCCCCTGTTGCCATGTGCCTCCCTCCCTCGCCAGCCCCTGCCCTCTCTCCGTCCCCTCATACTTCTCGCCTCCTCCTTCCTCTCCTCCCATCCCCCTTTCCCCCACCCTCTCCCCCTCGCTGCCATTCCGTCCCACCCTTCGCTCCTCCCCATCCCCCCCCCCTCTCTGCCCTTGTGCCTCTCCACTGCCCGCCATTTCCCCCACCCTCCCCGCGCTGCTGTTTCTGTGTCTCTCCTCTGCCTCCGCCATCCGCCCTCGTGCGCCCCCTCCGCCCCTCTCCGCCGATGCCTCCGTCACCCCCTCCGCGTGCGTCTCAGCTCGCCCCTCCACGCTCCCCGCGCAGCCAGAAGGGAGAGCGGACGGCCTGAGATATGGGGAGAGAGGGGGATGGGGAGAGAGGGGGATGGGGAGAGAGGGGGATGGGGGAAGGGAAAGACGCGGGCGACGGTCGGAGATGGAAAGGGAGGCGTGCGAGACGAGGGCGCAGGGGCTGGGCTGGGAGACGAGCAGACGGGGGAATGGGTGCGGGGAGAAGCGGGCACGGAGGCGACGAGAGGGGCGCGGGGAGACAACTGGAGGCGGGCAAGCGAGCGGCACTCACGTGAGGGGGCGCGGGACGAGGCCGTTGTGGTCCGCCGCCGCCGCCACGCTGTGTGAATCTGATGCCGCCGCTCCCTCCCCCTCGCCTCCCCGCCCTCCGCTCTCCCCCACACCGCCCACAACCTCAGCACGCGAAAGAGCAGCAGGCGCGGTAGGCGCGGCAGCAGCAGCGCGCGTGTCGGCGTTTGACAGTCCGTTAAAGGGGCCCACACGCGGCTCATTCACCCCTTGCCCCGCGCACCCATCGCCCCCATCACACGCCTTCGCCGCCTTGCACGCCTGCTCCCCCGCATCGTCCCCCATGTCCGCGTCGTCCCCAACGCGCTCATTTCCCCCCATGTCCGCCGCTCCACCTTCTTCGCGCACCTCACTCTGCTGCATCCCCATCCCCATCCCCATCCCCATCCCCAACCCCATGCCCCTCCCCGCCCCCGCGCCCCCGCCCGCGTCCATGCCCATGTTGGCGCGCAGGTGCGCGTCCATCATGCTCATCACCGCGCCCTCGTCCCCGCCCCCGCCCCCCATGCCACCGCCCAGCGCCCCGTGCCCGTACCCCATCCCATACCCATACCCGTACCCCGTCCCACTCCGCCCCATTTCCCCCTCCCTCTCCGCCACCAGCCGCTCCGCGCACTGCTGCAGCGTTAAACCGTCCGCCGTTTCTCCTTTACCCGCCCTCCGCGCGCCCTCCTCTCCCCTCTGAGGCGCCTCTCGCCCGGATGCGCCCTCCGCCTCCCCCATCCACCCCCCTAGCGCCCCGTCAGTCTCCATCTCGCTCCCCGCCCCCTTGTTTCCGCCCGCTGCCCCCATCCCTCCCCAGGCGGCCGCACGTCCCCTTCCTCCGCGCGCCCCATCTCCGCGGGCCAGTCCGCGTGGGCCGCGGCGGCTTGCGCGGGCACGATGTGGTCGTCGGTGCCGAACTCGAGCCAAACCATGTCGTCGAACTGCGGGGGGCGGGGGGGGAAGGGAGGGGCGGGTGGGAGGGGAGCGGCGTTGAGAATACTAGGAGGGGGCGGAACACGCGAAGAGGGGAGGCATGTGCGAGGCGAAAGGGTGCGGCGTGCGGCACGCTAGCGACGTCGGGTCACTCTCCGCTGCGATCGCCCTGCTCTCGATAGCCTGGCGACCGCTCACGCCACTCCGACAAACGGCCACAGCTACAGCTATAGGGACTGCTACGGGAGAACAGCTAACCGCGCAGTTAGAGGTCCCACTGAGGCAACAACTACAGGCAGACCAACGGCAACCACTCGCCGTGCGTGGCTTTCCGAACGGCAGCGCTGCTGCTGCCGGCACTGCATAAAAGCCCGCTCCTCCGCACCGCTCTTTCCGCTGCTCCCACACTCACACCCAGCGTGACTCCGAGTCTACGGCATCAGCTCGCCCTCTTCCCCCCCGCTTTCCTTCCCAGCGCCTCCCCTGCCGTTACCGCCGCCTCTGCCTGAAGACGTCGCGGCAAACTAGCACGGTCCTAAAGCTGAACGGCGGGCGATAGGGGAGCGACAGTGACGGGCGGTGAGGGCGAAAGGGAATAGGAAGGGACAGCGGGAGGGAGGCGAGGGCGCGCGAGAACGCACCGTAGACCACGCGTTGATGGCCGGGTCCGCGTCGGCATCCGCCGCATTCCACGGCGACGATGACATCGGGCGGTTTATCGAGACTCCTTACCCTAATAGACGGTTGGTCGGCAGGATTTAGCTTGCCCTACTGCTACGTAAGGCGTCTTCTCAATTCTAACCTCCAGAATTCGTACTCTCTGCTGATCTCTGCGGCCGATATTCTAACAGACGCTCGTTCCTACAAGGCTAGTCGACGCCGGGCCGGTTGCAAGTCCACAGGATGGCACACGACGGGTGGGCACACGACGCCTGCAGCGCCATAGAGTAACAGACGGCTCGAGTGGTGGATTCTTAGAGAATTGTTAATCCAAGATTCTTAGTTACACTGCACGGTCGCAATCGAGGAACGAGAGCCAAGGCGATGCCTCCTATGCATCTAGGTTGCTGGCTAGAGTCAAGGGTGAAAGGGTGGCAGCAATGGCGGAAGTTGGAATCACGCGCGGGCAGATAGGCTGCCACAGGCAACCCTGGCAGTGGCAGAACAAATGAGCCAGCCACCGTGCGAAAGAGGGAAGGAAACCGAGAGGTGATTCATTGGAGAGCCCGAGGATATTTCACGACCGTCGGATCAAGGTTTCTCCATCCAAGCTGCGTGGTTCTCCACGACCGGATCAACTTGTTGGCTGAGAAGCGATGAGACGACGCCCTCACGATCCTTGCGACGCAGGCGAGCCGATTCTGATGCGACGCAATATATTTTGCGTCCGTCCTTGCAAGAAGAGTGAAACCCCATGTGTGCGGTGACGTCAGCTGCAAAAATGATTGTACGCTTGTGGTCAAAATGGCCCGCTGCCTGCCAGCGCGACGGGCTCTGGATTAGCCGTGACCGCGAACACGTAGCGCCCTGCACAACGGCGCACAGGGACCTGACCACTCAGCAGCACTGCTCCCCACACGCAACTCTATCCACCCACCCAACCAAACCCTGGCTTGACCCACGAGAAAACATCCACAATCAATTGCATCTAAAACATGTGAATTCCCTTTGCAAGCACACATGCCATAAAACCAAACAAAACACATGGGATTGTGACCCTTAAAGCCACGGTACACATTCCGTGAAATGTGTTTCAACTTATTAACATTGACAATCTGATTACAGCGTAACTTCGTTGTGGGAAATGAACGTCCTCGCCAGCCATCGAAAACATCTGAACACGCGAATTTGGAGATGTGTAGTACAAATCCCAGTTCTCGCTGCAGAGTTGTGTATATGCGACCCCCTTCCCCCCCCCCCCTCCCCCTTCCCGTCCCTAGCCTCCCCCCACCCCCAATTTCCAAATGTTTACAGACACGTTCTTATCAAACTGAAAATTGAATGATAGCTAATGAGAGTGTACAGACAGATATACCTATGAATTGTACCCTCTAAGAGGCGACCCTATATAGTCTATACAAACATGGCACATACACATGTTTGACACACCCCCTAGACTGCATAGGGGAACGTCCTAAACAAGCAGCTCAGGGCGGCACTACTAGTCCAACCTCTGAGACAAGGGTCTGAGAGACCAGTCAGAAGGAGTACAGACAAGGCAAGAACAAGAGCAGGGCGGCACTACTAGTCCAACTACTGGGAGAGGACACAAGTCCAGTCTGAGAATACATCTAAAGGACAGTACAAAGTCAAGGTCCTAGCAAGTGAGAGGCTACAGGAACTAGACCAAGCTGTACACAGTGCTGCTAATGATCTTTAGGCGCAAGCGCCTTCGTAAAGATATCAGCCGTGTTGGCACCTGAGGCCAAGTGTACTACGCGAGCCTGACGCCGCTGCTGTAGCTCACGCAGGAGGAAGTACCGCAGCTGAATGTGCTTCGCTCTGCCCTCGAGTCGAGGCTCCTGACACAGGAGGATTATGGCCCTGTTGTCAGCGAACAGGACCAGGGCAGAGCTAGGCCGCTCACCTAAGTCAGTGAGCAAGAAGGTCAGCCAGCGGAGCTCCTGTGCCGCCATGGCACCAGCGTAGATCTCAGCCTCGCAGCTGGACTGCGCCACAGACGAGGAGCGGGTAGCTCTCCACGAGACGGCAGGTGAGCCAAGGCTGAAGCAGTAGCCCTGGGTAGACCTGAGCGTCTCAGCGTCGTCAGCCCACGAAGCGTCTGTGTGTCCAGTAAGGACCACTGGCCTGCGTCCTCCTAGCACTAACCCCATGCCCGATGTACTAGCAAGATAACGCAGAACCCTCTTAGCGGCAGACCAGTGCTGCGGTCGGTGTCTGCCTGTGGCCACAAAACGAGCCAGGATGCTGAGAGGGTATGCGAGATCTGGGCGAGTGCAAGTCATCAGGTACATGAGGCAACCCACCAGCTCTGCGTAGGGGCCGCTGGGCTCTACCAACTCCTCAGACACTGGAGCGGAGAGCCTGTGGTCTACAGGCAGAGGGGTGGGCTGTGCAGAGGAGAACTGAAGGCTGAACCTCTGAAGGACCTGGCGCACCAAGTGTGACTGAGTCAGGGTGATGGTGCGCGCAGCTCTGTCCCTGGAGATCTGCAAGCCAAGGTAACGGCGCAGTTCTCCAAGGTCAGTGCAGGTGTGTCTCTTCAGCAGCTCTGCCTTCACGGAGGCCAGTGCGTCCCTGTCTGCTGTGGCAAAGACCAGATCGTCGACGTAAACAAGGATGTAGAACGGAGTCTGGCCAGTACGAACGAAGAGTGAAGGGTCTGCGGAAGACGGAAAGAACTGCAGGTCAGCAAGTGTAGCACGGAGAGTGTCGTGCCACTCACGGGGAGCCTGGCGCAGGCCGTAGACGGGGCGCCGCAGGAGCCACTGGGTCCCAGGAGGGAAGGTGCCAGTAAAGCCCGGAGGGCGACGTAGGTAGACCTGCTCGTGTAGGCTGCCCTGAAGGAAGCAGTGGAGAAGTCGAGGGAGTGAAGCTCGTAGTCACGCTGAGCAGCTAGGTGTAACAGAACCCGAAGAGTAGTCATCTTCGGGGTCGGAGCGAAGGTCTGGAAGAAGTCCACCCCTCGCGCTAACTGAAGCCTCTAGCCACATAGCGCGCCTTGAACACAGGCGGCTCTCCAGGAGGGCGCTTCACCTTGAAGAGCCAGCGGCCATCGACTACGTTCACCCCAGGCGGGGGAACTGCGTCGACGAAGGTGCCGGTGGATCTCCAAGATGCCATCTCCTGCTCCATGGCAGCTATCCACTGAGAGGCCCAGGGTCCCGAGGTCGCCTCAGCGTAAGTGCGAGGGGTCGGGATGTCGAAAGCGTCTGGGTCACCCTCAGGGACTAGCAGCATGGAACAGAGATGGGAGCAGCCTCCGACAGGAAAGCAAGCTCGAACAGGCGGTCCTCCAGGGCGTCACTGCCAAGGGCAGAAGCACCCCCGACAGACGGAGGACAGGCAGGGTCAGAGACCAGAGCGGTGGCGTAGTCAAGGCGGCGGGTAGAGGCGAAGTCAGCGACCGCAGCGACAAGGGCGTCAAGGCTCGAAAGTGGAACAGACGGGTCGGTAACAAGAGTGGCAAGGACCCGAGGAACAAGAGGACGGGCGGCACGAAGGTAATCAAACAGCGGGGGGGGTGCAACAACAAGGGAGGACGGAGGAGGCGACGGCAGAAGGAGAGGACGAGACGCGTGGGAACGAAGCAACATAGGGTGGGAGCGCAGGACAGGCGAGGCAGGACGAGCACGGGAGGGACGGTGAGACCAGACGTGCGACGGAGGAGTCGGGTCAGGAGACAGAGGAGGGGACACAGGAGGAGAACGAGGGGGGAGACGGGCCGGGGACGAGTCCGGCGGAGGGAAAACAGGGCCGTAGACAGGAAGAGGAGGAGACGGCCGGGGAGGAACCGACGCAGGGTCGGGGGACGGAAGGCCGAGCAGGCGAAGGGCTGACACCGGCGGGGACTGCTGCTGCGGCGGCACAACGGCGACACCTGGACCGCAAACTGCTCCTCGGCTACCACCGGCACTCTCCACACCAGCACCCCCAGAGGGACCACCCCCAGGGCTACCGGGACGAGCACCCCCAGAGTCAGCGAACGGGTGCTGCGACGGCGGCGGCGGCGGCGGTGGCGGCAGCGACGGCCGCAGCGGCGGCAGAGGCGGTGGAGGAGGGGACTGGGGAGGGGACGCCAGGGGAGGGGCAGCTGGCGAGGACTGAGCAGGAGGGCCACCAGAGTCAGAAGACTCCTCAACCGGGTCCACCGACGGAAGGGGGGTGACGTGGGACACACCAGAGGGGGCGGGACGGGGAGGAGGAGGAGGAGGGGCAGGGACTACCGGGGAAGGAGGGATCAGGAACAGGGGGGGGGAACCGGGGGACCACGGTGGGGGAAGCGACGGTAGTAGGAGACGGACTCGTCAAAGGTGACGTCACGAGAATGAAAGAAGCGGTGAGACGGCGGGTGGTAAAAGTGCCAGTCAGACACGTCAAGGGGAAAACCGAGGAAGACGCAGGGAAGGGTGCGGGCAGTGAGCTTGTCCGTGCCGGAGGCACGGACGTGAGCAAGGCAGCCCCAAACGTGGAACGCAGACGCGTCACCAGGAGACCCGGTCCAAAGACGTGTGGGCGAAACCTGCGGCTGCTGAGGGTGCGGCCACAAGTTAAGCTGGTGAGAAGCGTAGCGTACAGCGAACGGCCACAGAAAATGGGGTGCACCGGCATGGATCATGGAGGTGCGAGCCACCTCCATGACCAAACCGATGCGTCGCTCAGCGACCCCATTCTGCTGTGGGGAGTCCGGTAGGGTGAACGTCTGGGTGATGCCCTCCGCACGACAAAAGCGACCAAGGACACCTGAGGCAAACTCGCCACCCACGGTCTGAGTGAAGACGCAAGACAGGGAGACCGCGGTGGACACGCGCAGAGACAAGCCAGGGGATGAGGGCGCCAGGCACGTCGGCCTTGCGCTCCAGGGGAAAGACTGTGGTGTAACGAGTGAAGTCGTCGACAAGCACAAGGAAGTAGCGCTCTCGACGCGGCCCAGGGACCGGGGCGGGGCCCAGACGTCCAGGTGCAGTGTCTGCAACGGCGCGGCGGTAGGTGGAACGAGGAGGAGTGAGGGGCACGGCGAGCCGACCCTCGACGCAAGGCGTGCAGGTGGGCTGGGGGGAGGGAACGCGGGGAGAGAACTGGGAGACAGGACAAGACCGTGCTGGGACATGTGACGCAGACGCGGGAGCGCAGGGTGACTAGGCGGTGGTGCCAAAGGAGGGTCGGGTGAGTGAGAGACCACAGAGCAGCAGCAGCAACCTGGGTGAGCGCTCCAGCCGGGGGGTCACGGTGTCCAGAGTGAACAGGCCGGACACCGGGTCCCGGGGGAACGTGGACAGGGGGGCACCAGTGGCGGCCTCGGTACAGACAGCATACCGCTCGTGACCAGGGAACGTAGTGGTGACGCCAAGGTCCTGGAGGCAGCCGACACCAACTAGGTTCCTGGAGAACGAAGGGATATGCAGACCTGTAGGAGAGCCCGAAGGAACCGCCGGACAAGGAAGGGTGGTGGAACTGCGGGCGACGACCGGACCGCCAGAGGGTCAGCGAGAGAAACGGCAGCAGGGACGGGAAGCGGCGTCAGTGTGGTGGAGTCGCGGAAGAAACACCGAGAAGCGCCAGAGTCCAAGGTGAAGGAAAGCGAAGCAGAGGCGTCTGGCGACAAAACGACGGCGGAAGCACCAAGACTACACAAAGCAGGAGATCCTACGCCTGACGCAGCAGGGGAGGCTAAGCTAGGCACACCTACACTAGGCAACAGTGAGTAATAAGCTGGAAGCACACTAGAGTCATCAGCATACATCACATGCAGAGCAGAAACAATGGCATCCATGTCCATATCAAAGATCTGAATCTTACGACTAAGCAAACTGTGCCAGTCCGGGAGGTCTGGCAACGGGCCGAAGCGCTGACGAAAGAGGTCGTCCAGGCGACGAAAACAGCGGGTAGTGGAGTGACCGAGCCTACCGCAAACAAAACCGCGGCGAGGACCGGTCTGGATCTGGTACTGACAGCGCCCGCCGCCAGAGCTACCACTCGACACACCACCACGCGCCCGGCCACCGCCAGCGCCGGGCCACCCGGGCGGGAGGACACTCGTCTGCTGCGTCTGCGACGGCTGCTGCGGCTGCTGCGAAGGCTGCGACTGCGGCGGCTGCTGCGGCTGCTGCAACTACAGGGGCGGCGGCTCAGCTGAACTGGGCAGGGTCCCCTCGTCCGCTCCAGCACCAGACGACCCGACCCCACCACTACCCCCTCCCACACCCCCGCCTCCGCCTCCGCCGCGCCCAACCTTGGGGCGGCGGCCCTTCCCCGAACGAAACTGCGCAGCAGCAGCAGTCTCAGCCACTGCGACAGAGCAGTCGGAGAAGGTACACTGGGCGGGGGCACAACCCTGAAAGATAGGGACCGGCACGACACCGCTCGCCTGGGCGATGGAGCGGTGACGGGTCTCTATCACAGTCAGGGTGTCTACAAAGTCAGTGAGGGTGAGGTCGGCGGGGTGAAGGCTAAGGAAGCGGTCGCGGGCGACAGCAAGGCGGTCAGGGAGGCGGGTGGCAAGCAGGTAGAGGGTAGAGGTAATGGGCGGCTGGTGGGCTCTAAGCTGTGCGTCAGTGCAGGCGGCGCGCCAGGTCTCCTCTATCGAGCGCAGGTGGGCAGCGAGGTCAGAGACAGTGGGGAAAGAGGCAAGGTCAGGAAAGAGCATCGGGAGGATCAGGCGACCCACCGAGGCAGCCGGAGGGGTGGAATAGCGCTTGATGACAGCATCTAAGTATGCCTGAACAGTAGTGAGGGACCTAAAGCGAGGACGCTCGGACGGGGGGAGGGCGTTGCTAATGGCAAGCTGGGCGACAGCATCGCGAGAAAGCCAGACAGAGCGCGCACGGGCAGTGGCAGCAGTAGACTCACGCTCAGTGGGTGTGGGGTCAGCGGGCAGAATAGATGGGGGGTCTGGGCAGGGGAGCGTACCGTCAAGATGTGCAGAAAGCGGTTCACCATCCTGCCGCTGGCCAGTGAGTTGGCGGCGGAGGTCGGCAAGCCACGCCTCGAACTCTAGGGGCTGACCTTCAGCGTCGAAGCGAAGCTCCGCCGCCATCAGGAACAGTCCAGTGCGGTGCAGGGCAGTGCAGCTAGGTGGAGTGCGGTGCAGTGCGGTACAGTGCGGTGCAGTGCGATGCAGTGCGGTGCAGTGCGGTGCAGTGCGGTGTAGTGCGGTGTAGTGCGGTGCAGTGCGGTGCAGTGCGGTACAGTGCGGTGCAGTGCGGTGTAGTGCGGTGCAGTGCGGTGCAGTGCGGTACAGTGCGGTGCAGTGCGGTGCAGTGCGGTACAGTGCGGTGCAGTGCGGTGCAGTGCGGTGTAGTGCGGTGCCAGGCAGTACAGTGTGATGCGAGGCGGCACGGAGCAGGGCGGGGTGGGGGGGGAACCGTACCAGTGAGGAGGACGGGGCCGGGGCTGGCCCGACGGGGCCGGGCAGGCGCGACGGGGCCGGGCTGGTGCGACAGGGCCGGGACGGGGCGACGGGGCCGGGCTGGGGCGACGGGGCCGGGCGAGTGCGGCAGGGCCGGGCCGGTGCGACGGGGCCGGGCGAGCGGGACGGCGGCCGGGCAGGTGCAACGGGGCCGGGCGGCTGTGACGGGGCCGGGCAGGGTGCAACGGGGCCGGGCGGGTGCGACGGGGCCGGGCGGCTGCGACGGGGCCGAGCAGGGTGCGACGGGGCCAGGCGGCTGCGACGGGGCCGGGCGGGCGCGACGGGGCCGGGCGGGCGCGACGGGGCCGGGCGGCTGTGACGGGGCCGGGCAGGGTGCGACGGGGCCAGGCGGCTGCGACGGGGCCGGTCGGGCGCGACGGGGCCGGGCGGGTGCGACGGCGCCGGGCGGGCGCGACGGGGCCGGGCGGCTGCGACGGGGTCGGGCAGGGGCGACGGGACCGTGGGGGGTACTACGCGGCCCAGGAGGGGCGCTACGGGGCCCAGGAGGGGTACGACGGGGGGGCCCAGGAGAGGCGCTACAGGGGCCCAGGAGGGGCGCTACGAGGCCCAGGAGGGGCGCAACGAGGCCTAGGAGGGGCGTGACGGGGCCTAGGAGGGGCGTGACGGGGCCTGGGAGGGGCGCTACAGGGCCCAGGGAGGGCGCGACGGGGCCCAGGAGGGGCGCTACGGGGCCCAGGAGGGGCGTGACGGGGCCTGGGAGGAGCGCGACGAGGCCCAGGAGGGGCGCTACGGGGCCCAGGAGGGGCGCGACGGGGCCCAGGAGGGGCGCTACGGGGCCCAGGAGGGGCGCTACGGGGCCTGGGAGGAGCGCGACGGGGCCCAGGAGGGGCGCTAGGGGGCCTGGGAGGGGCGCGACGGGGCCTGGGAGGGGCGCGACGGGGCCTGGGAGGGGTGCTACGGGGCCCAGGAGGGGCGCGACGAGGCCCAGGAGGGGCGCTACGAAGCCCTAGGAGGGGCGCGACGGGGCCTGGGAGGAGCGCGACGGGGCCCAGGAGGGGCGCTAGGGGGGCTGAGAGGGGCGTGACAGGGCCCAGTGAGGGGCGCGACGGGGCTAGGGGGGGGTCACGACTGGGTGAGCGGAAGCGGGAGGTGGGGGGGATCCTACCTACGCGTGATACCATATCAAACTGAAAATTGAATGATAGCTAGTGAGAGTGTACAGACAGATATACCTATGAATTGTACCCTCTAAGAGGCGACCCTATACAGTCTATACAAACATGACACATACACATGTTTGACAGTTCTCTCACAGTATTGAGAGATACAATGTGGTTTTGTGCTGAGGGGTTGTACTCTCTAAGAGTACGCACCTATCTAGCCTATAGTATTGTATGCTGATATGTTTGAAACACCCCCTAGGCTAGATGAGGGGCAGTGCCAGACAAGAGACACGCAACTCAGGGTGGCACTACTAGTCCAACCTCTCAGGCAAGGGTCCGAAGACCAGTCAAGAAGAGTGCAAACTAAACAAGAGTAACACGTTGTGGCACTGTTAAACTACCGTATTCCCCCGTATATAGGTAACACCCTATGGTTTTGTCAAAATTTCATAAAAAAGGCGTGTGGGTGTTAACAGTAGGCTGGAAAAATATATAGCCCATGTCTTACGTAAAATGCAAAATGAATTTGGGCTGTAACGGGCTCTGTGAGAAGCATGAAACACAATGTAGCTTCTAGCGAGGTTTGGATGACAGCCACTCACCTCCACTAGGACCAGCCTGTCAATTATGTGTTGGCATTCTGCATTTGTGGCCAATCGGAGTCAGCCGCACCTGCAAACACGCTAGGGAAGCAGCCTCATACTGCTGACACAGATTCATCGACGGCCAGGGGGCCATTATAGTGCCAGCCTGACATCGACGTGCCAAATGCTTGACCAGATTCTTTAGGGAATCTGGTAGATGGGACCAGCATGCATGGTCCCATCGCGTTTTCCAAGACCATGCACGACTCGGCTTTGGGGGTCGGCCACGGTTATTCTCCAACCTCTTCTTGCCGCATTGTCATTCTTGCTCTTCGATCGGCTCGCTCACTCTCAAAACCTGTCGCAATGCCCGGGCTCTCTAACAGAGGCTCGGGCATTGCTCAATGTCGCCTAGTTAGCAGCGACATCTTTTCGTCTAGCATTCGATCCATGGCCGCTCAAGCAGTTAGTGGTGTTGCCTTGTTGCGACCTCATCGCCCTCAGTTTGGGAACCAGACTTTGCTTAGGCCGTTCCCACTGGTTCCCCCAGCTCCACGAACTTCTACGACAGCTCCCGCACCTCCTGCTCCACCTGCCCCGCTCGCACCACCTGCACCACCTGCTCTTCCTGCCCCACCAACGCCGCCCGCTCCTCCTGCTCCTCCTGCCCCACCGGCGCCGCCCGCTCCTCCTGCTCCACCTGTTCATTGGTCGCCAATAGCAACTCGTCCCCCGGAGTGTAACAACGCGAGGCAAGATGACGATGACGAGCTCTACTGGGAGGAGGCTGCCGAAGGCGAGCCTGAACCTCCCCGCCCGCTTCCTCGCATTGTCGTTCCCCGTTTCCCACAAGCACAACGTCGTCCTACTATGCCTAGGGTTAACCATAATGTTGCACCTCCCTCCCCCAGAGTTCGCAGGACGAATCGAAAGCGAGTCGCGCGGACGGCTACCGAGAAGCTCTACTGGTTGGCAAAGATTTGTCTAAGCGCTCTCTCGCTCGCATGGCTGGAGTGCAGCCGTGCCAGATTCGTGACTGGAAGAAAAACAAGGCTCGCCTCACTGCTGCTGCTGGTTGCAGGCGTCGTCTCATCGGCTCCGGAAGAAAGTCGAAGTACCCGACAATGGAGCGAAAGATTTACAAGAAGTTCCTTGGACACAGCGCGCGTGGGCTAGCTGTCTCGATCAGCACGCTGCAGAAATGGAGCCGGAAGTACATGAGGAAGCACCACCACGGCGTCGACTAGCGTGCAGCAGTCGTCGCCGCCGTAGGGGTCCGCGAGCTCTGGGGGTGTGGGTGTTGAGGAGGGTACTAGTCCTGGGGGTACTATGTGGCTTGTCCCCGCGTTCCTGGGGGTGGTACCGGTGCTGGAGAGGGTTCCCGTTCTGGGGGTGCTGTCGTGGAGCGTCCCGGCGGTAGTCCTGGTGCAGCTGGAGGTTCTGCTGTCGGTGTGGAGCAGCAGCAGCAGTCGCCGCCGGTGTCCGCCCTTCGCCTCCTCGGTCTTCCCTCCCCTGACCACCCGCCTGCGCCTCCCCCGCCTGTATACGGCCCTGTGTTTCTTCAACCGGACTCCTCTCCAACTCGTTTCCTCCCTCGTTCTTCACCTGTGCCTCCTCCCGTGTCTCCTGACCCGGCGCCTCCCTCCCAAATCTGGTCTCGCCGTCCCTCTCATGCTCGTCCTATCTCTCCTATTCAGCGCTCTCACCCTATGTTGCTACGTGCCTCGTCCTCCCCTCCTCCCGTCGCCTCCTCCGTC